CTTTGCACCTATTTACTTTGTGCTATAGGTGAATGAACCTCCTGTCCAGCTGGCTGTCCATCAGCCAAGATGAGTCTTCCTGCACCTCATACTTGCTCACCGTAACTGACAGGCTGGCAAACTAGGACAGTGGATCATGATGATAGTAAAACATCTATCAGATTGTTTAGGAAGGGCGAGAGACAGAAAGAATTCTGACTGCAATGAGGAAAACACTCCCACAATTATCTCTAGTCATCCTTTATCAAAACTTTGTTTTCCTATATTTCCTACTTCATACTGAAAGACTATTGAAGTATTACGACAGGAAGAAAAAAAAAAGTTAAATTTTGTGTTTAAATTAGAAAAACAAATCTCAGTGCTACAGAAGGTTCTGAGACGTTCTAAGACGAAAAATTTTGACACCTAAAATTTAGGCAGAGTAATTTGCAGGAAACAAACTCTTTTCAATTGGGCTAATTCTAACACAGCCCAACACAGGTTTAAATGAACTGGTTGGGCCTCTGTGTTTCTAGCAACTACTTTCCATTTCTATGTGCTGTACTGGCAATGTCAACATGAGAGGCAGCCCAAATGGAAATACTGTCCACACACACCTACCCACAGATTATCTAGTAACTTGATCCTGCAAATACATGGGCAGAGACTGGACACAAGAAAAATCTGTTTACCTTAAAAAGATCTTCCAAATTCATTGACATCTCATAAAATGCTCATACAGCCTTATTCCTAGCCTCTGAAACTAATTATTTCAGAATCAATTGGCTAGAAAACTTCCATCAATGGGGGGAATGCACATTTCAAATATACATGACTACCACAAAGAACACACTGACACGCCTCTCCCACTGATCTTTGCTCTCTTCAACCACATCCCATACCCCCAAATGGGGAAGAAAATAGTCGTTAAAGATGGATACTTCATGTTAGGAAAAGGCAGAACTTGAGAATTGCGAAGATGATAAAGCGAGGATTATTTCATAACCCATTTAAAGGCATGTGTAAAGTATACCTGAAAATGGATGGTTCCTTTCTGCTTTTCCACTGGTGAATTACTAGTGGAACTTTAATACAAATGGTGCCAGCGTAGGAAGAAAGGCTAGAGTACAGGAACAAATAAAGGCAGGTAGGAACTTGCAGATAACAGAGAATCTATGGTACTATCAAGACTTCAATTCTATACCTAAATTGTGCTGAATTTCAGATTCTGCTTTTAGGTGAAAAAGAAAAAAAACAACAACAAAGATTTCCAGACCTTGGGTGTTTAAAGGGCCTTCACACAGTAAATCAACCCACTGCTGTCTTGTTTTCTCCGCAGCCAGACTGAAATAATACAGCACCAGCAGAGGTGTGAATTACCCCCATTCATCTTAATGGAGTGTTAACTTCAAAGGCTTGTTTTAACCATTTAAATGCTAAGCTCATGAGTAAACATTCCGTTCAAAAAAGTACAATTTAAACATTCACCCTCAACATATGAAAGTAATTTTATATTCTCAGCACTTCGTCTTTTAATTTGGCAAACAAGTCTCCAAGTGTTGGAGAAGTATATATTTTGTGCTTAACTTCGTTTTATTTTAAATAGTTATTACCTAATAAATTATGAACATTAAGTCCATAATGAGAAGGCCTATATTTCGCAGGAAAAACGCTGAGGAGTACTTGAAGGTTCTGGGTAATGCTGGCGAAGGGGGCACTGCTCTTAGCTTCTTCCAAACTCAGAGGGAGAGCTGTGACTCTACACAGGCAGCTAGATAAGGCAGCATATTAATGTAAAATAAAAACAAACATCTCCACAAGTCATTTCTCTTGATATTAACTGAGTTTTGTGCAGAGTGTTCAATAGGTTAGTTGTCCCTTTGCCAAACCTCCCATGATCCTATCCCATGAGCGGGTGACAAATGTAATAATTGATGCCCAGCTGTCATCGCACTTAACATTTGCCCCAGGGGGCATCTTTGCATCTGTTGCAGATTTAGGGTTATTTTGGTATTACTGCAGTTAGATTTATTTAAGCAGCTGAACCCCTATTTGTATGTGAATCTATAATTTCATAAACAGAAAAAGAGGGTACAAGAGTGAGCTTACCAGGTTGATAGACTCTGGCTGACCCGAAGCCACATGGAAGACCATGCCAGGCGGTGCCCCTGGGACCAGGCTAAGTGCCCAGTTTCAGGAAGGCATCAGTAGGAGTGCAGCTGGGGTAGAACTGTGGGAAAGCACTATAGACATGGGGCCGGTTCCCCTGGGAGTGAAGGAAAGAGCGGGATTCTAAACATACTAGTTGTGCAAGATGGGAGATGAAGAAATTCCATGTCCCTGATTGAAAGCAAATTTATTTTATTGCTCCAGATAAAGAAGTGGAAGAAAGGGGATAAATAGCTAATCTATGCAGAAAGGCTGTTTCAAACTGTAGCTAATTTATACAAGGTCACTTAATCCTCTCAGCACAACCCTGTATAATTGGTATTAACTCCATATAATACCTATGTAAAAGTGGAGGCTTAGAGAGGTTAAGTAGTTTCCCTAAACTCGCTGAGATTTGAATCTAAGTCTTTCTAACCCCCAAACTTGGACTTTTTCCATTACACCATGCTAATCTCAGATTTGCCAAAGAAGTATCTTAACTCAAAAGAAAAGCTCAGTTGTCAAATTTTCAGCCAATTTCCTAAGAAGGAAGCAAGAGGCACCTGCAAAAGTGTGGGTTTCCATACATGTAAATTGGCACTTTGCATGTAATTCCCTACTTTACATGTGCATGGGGATGGGATTACATTTTCACTGATACACCCTGGCTTTGGTAGGCTGCTAAGGGGCCTTTATAGAGAATACTCACAGGCAGGAGAGACCCAGTTTCTGGTTTCCAACCAGAAACAAGCCACATCACTGGGAAGATTGGAATGATTTATAACCTCCAAACAAAGTATGACATAAAGCACCAATATCTGTCATATTGCCAAGTAGAAAGTCACATGTTTAAGTGACAAACAAAAGCTCAGAGAACTTTCAAGTCCACAGCCAATCATCACAGTTCTATCTTCTAATGCACAACAGAGAAAAATCACAAAAGTTTCTTGGAGAAGATTTGGAGTCAGTTACCAAATGAAATAATCCCACAGTTTTGTTATTGGTGATGGACGGTGAGATTAGCCCACAAGCTAAGATTCAATTTTGTATATAAACTTACATTGATTTCTTTAAAAAATAAACAAAAGATTGACTTAATATATTTAATAACATTAAACACTTCTGTTCCGTGAAATACACTGTTAAAGAGGATGAAAAAAGGAACATACTGGGAGAAAATCTTTGCAAAACACATGTCTGATAAAGAACAGGTATACAAATGCTTAAAACTCAACAATGAGAAAACAACCTAATTTAAAAAACAGGCATAAGATCTGCACCTTACCAAAGAAAATACACAGATGACAAACACATGAAAAGAGGATCAACATCGTATGTCATTAGGGAAATACAAATTGAAACAACAGAGAAACAACTACGCACACATTAGGATGGAAAAAATACAAAATACTGCCAACACCAAATGCTGGTGAGGATGTAGAATTACAGGAATTCTCAATCATTGCTGGTGGGAATGAAAAATGTTACAGCCACTTTGGAAGGCAGTTTGGCAGTTGTTTGCAGGACTAAACATATTCTTACCACATGATGTGGCAATTGTGTCCTTTGGTATTAAGTCAAATAAGCTGAAAACTTATGTCCACACAAAAATCTGCACAGTTTTATTCAAAACTGCCAACATTTGGAAACAACCAAGAGGTCCTTCAACAGGTGAACAGAAAACAAAACTGTGATTGTTCATCCATACAATGGGTGTATATAAATGAGCTACCAAGCCATGACAAGACAAGTAGAAAATTTAATTGCATATTGCTCAGTGAAAGAAGCCAGCCTGCCGAAACTGGTTTGGCTCAACAGTAGAGCGTCGGTCTGCGAACTGAAAGGTCCGGGTTCGATTCCGGTCAAGGGCATGTACATTGGTTGTGGGCACATCCCCGGTGGAGGGTGTGCAAGAGGCAGCTGGTCAATGTTTCTCTCTCATCGATGTTTCTAGCTCTCTATCTCTCTCCCTTCCTCTCTGTAAAAAAATCAATAAAATAAAAAAATAAAAATAAATAAAAGAAGCCAGTCTGAAAGGTTGGATACCATTTAATTGCAACTATATGACATGCTAGAAAAGGCTCAGAGTTTTTAGAAAGATAGTAAAATAATTAGTGATTGCCAATGCTTACATCAAGAGTGCACCCCAATGTAAACTATGGACTTAAGTTAATAATAATATTTGGCTCAACAAGTATAATAAATATACCACACTAATTTAAGATGTTAATAATATGGGAAACTATGGATGTTTTGGGGGTGAAGCCACATATGGGACTCTTCTTTCTGCTCAACATTTCTGTGAAAATTAAAACTACCCTAAAAAATTAAGTCTATTAATCTAAAAAAAGCATCAGACCCACAAAGTGACAAAGAAAAGACTGACCTAATACATTTAAGAGTATTCTGAGTTTGTTTCTTATTTTGATTAAAACTGCTATGAGCCCACTTTTCCTTGCCCACTTCCATGCTGTTCCACTTTTCTGTTAATAATGCTTACAAAAATGTTAACCCGTATACAGCATTCATCCAAGGTGCCTTCCAGAATTGTCTCTTTTTGCATATGGAGGTAAATAATTCTTCACAACAAATGGGAAAAGTTATCTTTCATTTATTATTAATCCAATTAAAAACAATGAGGGCAAAACTAAAAGTCCCAATCAAAATTCCAAAGATGAGAAAAGCAAAGGCCTGTGGAAATAAGAAAAAAGATAATAACAATTAGGGTATTTTTTTTTTAATCTCCACCCTTCCCAATAATGTGTGGAATAGCTCAAAATATATTATTTTTTATGTAGATAAAATAATTAGAAAATGACAAATCATTTCTTAAAATAGGATTCTTAAAAGAAACAAAACAAAAACCAACCTACCGCAAGCTTTTTCCATGAGAGGAAATCCTCTCTGCTAAGTTTCAGGTAAAAAAGTCCTGGGAACACAAAAATCAAACACGTAGATGTGCTGGAACCTTTAGGCAGGAGGAAAAGAGAGGATGACTGCCAGACTCAGATGTTCGGCTGAATAACAAGTTTACCCATTATATTATGTGGATCTTTTTGAAATATAAAACTTACCAACTACACCAAATATAGTCTTAATGTCAGGGACAAATATTGCCAGTAAGACAATGATAATATTGAGTGCTAGCGTGATCAAAAAATGGCGAACCCATGAGAATGGAAAATTGGAGAAAAACATCATCATTAAAGCTTTCCTTGCCTGTATAACATAAAGAGAAACAGATTTAAGCAAAGAGAAAGTGTGAAAGCCAAAATACTCGCTTGTACAGTACCATAACCATGATATTCCTGTCCCCAACACCATTTAGTTTACAAAAGTATAACATAAACCATTATCGTGGTTATTATTCACAAACTAAGAAATACATATTTCTGTGTAATCTTCATAAAAATTATTTAAAAAATGTTCACATACAATTTCTTTAAGTTGCACAATTTTCAAAAGTATCAACTATAAACCCTGTGTGATGAAATCTCGGAGAATCATTGTCATTAATTTCAACAGAAGAACAAAAGGTTTAAAATGAGAAAAGAAATCATGCCATGTGGAAGAAACACCATTTACTATTTTATTTTATATTATCTGTTTCACAGCATGTAAATATGAAAACTAATTCATGACACTTCCCACTGCTAAGGCAGGCAGCAGGCGGTCACATCCACAAATGTTTACACAGCCCCTGCTGCACTCCTGGCCCTGCAGACTCACAGGGAGGGGGCAAGACTCCTGAAGGCCCAGCTCTTAAGGAACTCACTGTTTAGGAATTCAGACTTCCATGCAGAAGCATTTATACCCAAAGCCTTTTATCCATTTTCTCAGAAATTCTTAAGATTCTTAAGTACGGCAACTAAATGCAGAATGAAAATCTGTTCGGCCCTTAAACTATAATTCTAGAGCAAATAAAGTAGTTTGACGTAGATTAAACTAGAATGTCTACATAAAGATAAATTTACAATAAACCAGAAGGAGCTTATTTTTGCTGACTTGATTTTTTCCTCTTCATGCATTCTTTTGGGGAGAAAAACAGAATACAGAATTAAAAAGGAAAAACACACACACCAAAACCTTAGACGAACTATAGTCTCTAAATTGGAAACAATGCTGTGGGAAAGCATAAATCTAAACTGAATCTCAAAAGGCACAAATTAGCTTAGGGGCTCACTGTTATTTTTGTGCATTCATGGGTTATACGCAAGAATGAGGTCTTTGATCAATTACTTAACAAATGAGCAAGATATACAAGACTAGATGTGATTCAAACATTCTAGTCTGCAAAGAATTAGTGTTGCCACATTACGGAGCTGCTACATCAAGCAACAAAACCTTTAAGAGTACTTACAGGGAAGTGGATTAGAGGGACTGTCAAAAGCACAGCAAACAGTACGCATAACTTCATAATCCTGATAACAACATCATGAGGCAAGTATTTATTATAATCTTGGAGTATATCAGACGCCACTTTGTCTGTAAATTTAAAAAAATAACAATAAGAATTACAATAAAACTACCAAAATGTCAATAACATCAAAACTGTTTTCCTTTGCACAAAAGAATCTTAACAGATTTTGGATTCCTACTCCCCAACCCATCTCTGGCCTTGTTCTCTCCTAGGAAACACAGAGACATTAGTTAAATATCTTCTTGAAGCCACAGCCTCTTCTTTTAATGACACTACACATCAGCACAGGCAGAACTTAAATTATGACAATAAAATATATGTAAAAATATCTGTTAGAACGTTCCCATTGTTTGAAAGTTTTGAATATTTATGTTGTTTGCTTTGTAAAGTGCTTTCACATGAATTTGATCCGTGTGATAACAATATAAGACTGGTAGCTCATTGGGGCAGAGCTGGCACAGATGTACATTTTTTTTTTTTTGGTACCAAAACCAATACCTTTTCCTTGACACTGCAATTTTTCTAGAGTCTCATTGAGTTCCACACATCTTATCAGCTTCCTCGACATCTCATCTGTAGATAATCTTTCATAAAAGTTTTAGGGAACTGGCTTAGTTAGCTAGCCAGTGTGGTAGTCAGTGACAGAATTTGTACATGCTAACCATGCCTTGCTCCATGGTGTTCTTCCACTCCCACATTTTCCACACCTCAAGTCAGACAAGGTGTATTCAAGTGAGGTATTCAGAACATTGCATATCACTGCCTTGTAGGAAAGATCGATTTGTACTTATGAAAGAATAGTGCTTTTTAATTTGAGGGTATATGTTTTGGAAAGGTGCTTTGGAAGAAATAAGAGACAAATCAAACACACCTCCATTTTCAAGAATATTAAAATTTAAAGGACAGATACGGTGAATACACATACATATATGATAGCGTCTAAGCACAGATACATACATAAGTGACAGAAGAAGGTCCAAACAAACAGCTATGGTGATTCTGAATAGAGAACGATAACTATGGCTTTGGAATGAGCAATCCAGAAACCCGGGAAGGCTTGGGGATATTCTGGGGGGCAGGATGGTGGAAGGGGGCTTGAAATCTAGAACCGCACAGACTAATGTTCAAGTCCCACTACTTAATAGCAAATTAACTTTTGAGTCCCTTGGTTCTTACAACTGTAAAATGGAGACAATGATATGTTCACCTGTAGCGTTACAGCATTAAATGAGTTAATGCATGTGTGTGGGGAAGAGATCCTCGGAGCAAGGACCAGCAGAGCAGAAGTCCTGAGAAAGCAGAGGGAATAGGCAGCTGAGAAACTGAGATTCCAGAGGAGCACAGCGGCTGACCTGGAGGGGGCTGCAGCACAAGAGCAGAAGGTGGAAAGGCTGGAAACACATTTAAGACTCAACAGAGGAATTCTTTGTTCAAGGTTTGGGCTCACTCTGGTACAACACAGAGATGTCATGGCACTACGAAAAATAGTGTATTTTGATCTGAACTAAGGAGGAGGACAGATTGGGAGGAAAAGAGACCCGAAACAGGGATAACGGAAGGCAACAGTCATAATCACTGAGAGGGAATGAAGACTGGACTAGACTAGTGATAATGGAAAGGGGAGACGAACCAATTGTCTAAATTATCAAAGATGTACTTTACGTAGGGTGGAACTATGGACTAAAGAGGAGATTAAAGTTGAATTCTGTTCCCAAATCTGTGAGATACTTGTGAGTTTTAGAGAAATATGGCAAACTGCCCCCCGCTTTCTGAATCATAAAATAAGAGCTATTAACACTTATTGCTTAACAACCTCATAGACTTTTTACATGATCTGGTTATTATGCAACATTTGGGCCCTGGCCTGGCCTACCAAAGGGACACTTTCCCCCCCTCAACTTAAAATGCCTTAACACCTGCAGTCAGAGCCAATGTTACTAATCTAGGTACATACTTATAGGTCTTTTTAATCTGACAAAATTTAAATATTAACTAAGCCTGGGAAGCACTGTGACAAGACCCCAAGCAGCTTCAGAAGCCTGAAGAACTACCGTATTTCCCCGAAAATAAGACATCCTCTGAAAATAAGACCTAGCACAACTTTGGGAGAAAAAATTAATATAAAGCACTGTCTTATTTTCGGGGAAACAGGGTAGGTTTATTATATATTCAAAATAGCGGTTAATGTTCACTTCCTACTTTCTGAGGACGAAACCCTTTCTTCTGAGCCAGTCAGTTCTGTGTTCTTAGCTGAGCCTTACCATATGTAAGGAATAAAGCATGAAACGCTTCTCTGGATACAGACAAATCTCTACAAATCTCAGTAAGGACGGATGGTGTATGCTACTGAAGTCAGGAGGCTGTCCTGTTTAATGCAAATTGTCAAACTGGTATGAAGTTTCTAAAGATCACTACAGAGCAGCAGAAAGACCACGGATCAGTATTCAGGAGGCCTGCCACTAATCACTAATCGCGTGACAGGTCTCCTCTTTGGGCTTTATTTATTTTTATTGATGTCTTTTTACAGAGAGGAAGGGAAAGAGATAGAGTTAGAAACATTGATGAGAGAGAAACATCGATCAGCTGCCTCCTGCACATCTCCTACTGGGGATGTACTCACAACCAAGGTACATGCCCTTGACCTGAATCAAACCTGGATCTTCCAGTCTACAGGCTAATACTCTATCCACTGAGCCAAACTGGTTAGGGCACCTCTTTGGGCTTTAGATGCTCATCTATAAAATGAGTTGAATCCTTAACTTTTGATAAGCCCTTTTGATTAAGGCCTCAGACTCTATTAGCAATTTATTTCCATAAGACTGAAGGCTAGTGTTGTTCAGTTAGAAATATACAAGATTTCCCCTGGTTATGATTAAAAAACCCCAAACAAAACAATGACTAGCAAATCATATTTGAATCTTCCTCTGTCTTTGGAAAACTATTTTTCTTTATTTCTCTTCCTTCCTTTTTGTGTGTGCTTTTTTTGTTAATCCTCACCCAAAGATATTTTATGTGAGAGAGACAGAGAGACACATTGATTGGATGCCTCCTGCAAGCGCCCTTGACCAGAATTGAACCTGTGACCCTTCAGCCAAACTGGTTAGGCTTCCTTCCTTCCTTCCTTCCTTCCTTCCTTCCTTCCTTCCTTCCTTCCTTCCTTCCTTCCTTCCATCCATCCATACATCACCTACCTATATACCTACCTACCTACATACCATGTTATTTTTCTTAAATGTGAATTTCTCCATAATATAAAATGTGGATACTCTGAAGAATCTGCATTGGTGGAGAAGGATTAAGTCCAAGACAACATAACAGTGTTACTTGATAATCAGGAAAACCCCTGTGTAGTAAACATTACACTTCCATGATGATCATAAAGCTCCTAAGCATCTCATGGTAATTTATGTAACTTCTTCTCAAGCTATCCTAGAGATGTATAGGCCATCTCCAAGATAATACTCACAACATATACTGAAAAGCTACCATATTTACATTTAAAGTCATTAAAAACAGTAAGAAGTCCATGTTGAAAAACAGAGCACCTGTAATCATGCAATAATTACACTAGTAATGATAACAACACACCATGAGCAGCAGCTTCCCTTTGTGGAAGACTGCTATATGCCAGATATGGTACTAAACACTCTTTGCAATTATCCCTTGTAACAGATTAGGGGATAAGATACTCTAAGATGAAGTACCCTGCTCAAGGTCACATACCTAGTTAGAGCAGTCATTTAAACCATATTTGTTCAATTTAGAAATACATACTCTTTCCACTGGGCTTAGGAAAGGAAGCTATGCAAGTAAATGTTGTCCAAAAACTTATCAGATGTGGACAAACGAGAGATAAGCAAAAGCCCATTACAAGTCCTCATGGATGGCTAAAACCTGAAGCATGCACACAAGGCTATCAACTGTGAAATCAGAGTCATAACAGCTAACTATCACCAAAGTAATAACAGCCACTTACTTGGAGAGTGTTATAAAAGCATTCATAAACTGACAAGTGTACTGAAGTGTCTGACAAACTGGGTGTAATTTGTCATAATGTGATTGCAAATTAAACAAGCATGCTTGCAAATTAGAGAGCTTACAGTTTTTAAAATCTTATTCTAAACTTTTAAGTTTTACTTTTCCTTGAGGTTCTTATTAAAAGAGAAAAAAAAAGGCAATTTTTCAAAAATAAATATAAGAAACATTTAATGTTAATTTATGAATTTAAAAAAATCCTTTTTAAAAATTATGAATGTCTTGAATTGAAGCTGAAGGCAGAAATGTCTGACATGTAAGCATACAACTACAGTTCAGTGTAAAACCCTTCCCTTTCTCAATTGGTTCTTCTGCAGTTAAAATGGCTGATTCTTCCAAACTGCTGAACTAAAGCCTAATGTATTGAAAATAAGATTCTAAAATATTTTTTAAATAAATCAGTCTTGCCAAAACCGGTTTGGCTCAGTGGATAGAGTGTCAGCCTGCAGACTAAAAGGTTCCAGGTTTGATTCCGATCAAGGCCATATACCCTGGTTGTGGGCACATCCCCAGTAGGGGGGTGTGCAAGAGGCAGCTGATCGATGTTTCTCTCCCACTGATGTTTCTAACTCTCTATTCCTATCTCTTCCTCTCTGTAAAAAAAAAATCAATAAAATGTTTTAAAAAAATAAATCAGTATTGTACATTTTTTTCTTGTAGAAAGATATTAATCCTGAGGTTTTATTCAGGTGTTTCCTTAACATTCACAAAGGAGATGTTATTCAACCTGAAAGAAAGTCAATTCTTTAGGGCCCGTAGAGCTACTACAGTATTGCAGTGAATCCTGGGACTCATTAGTTTACTAATGAAAGGCAGAAACCAAGTTCAGACTCAAGTGTGAGATCAAATAGAGCAGCGGTCATCAACCTTTAGGACCTCATGGACCACCAGTGGTCCACGGGCCACCAGTTGGTGACCACTGCTCCAAAGGTTCCTTTAAACCAGTGGTCGCCCACCTTTTGGATTTCGCAGACCACTGGTTGGCGACCACTGAATGAGAGAACAGTCTATTTTTTCATCTACAATTAAATGATATACTTACCATAAAAAGTGAGGTACCCAAAGAGCGCTGATACAAAATAAACAAGGACACTTAAAGCAATTGCGGTATTGCTTACATCCTGCATTCTTTTCTTTGAAGGGCTAAAAGACAAAAATGGCAAAAGTAGAATCAGGGAAATGATTTATATCTATAGAAACAAATCTCCCAAGCTAAACAAAAGGGTTCCTTAATCATTCAAGACCTAGTTCATTAGTGATTATACACCAGAATTGCTGATTTAAAATTACTGCACAAAGATTATGCTTCCAGGAAGCATCCTCAATTTAAACAGAACTAACTCTCGGTTGTTCCATTTTGTTTTAAACTAACACTTAGAATCCAGTGATGGGAGGAAAGAATTCATAAAGGAGAATGTTATTAAACCTGAAAGACCTAGAAGTAAAAGGTCATATTTAATACATTTAAAATAATCCAGGATTCTATAGTACCTTTGAAGTTCAGAGTAAATGGGCAATATTGAGGTATGGCAGAGAAATGAAAAAGCCACGGTTGGTATCGCATAAGCACTCTGAAAAGAAAAAAGAAGACAAAATTACTAAATGCTACTCTGTTGAAACCACTACTTCGTTTGACAATGAGCTTAGTTCTTTTAAAAAAATCAATTTGGTTATATTCACTTCATTTTTCATAAACTGTCTCTATAAAATAAGATTGTGTTTGTTTTGTTTTGTTTTGTTTTGTTTTGTTTTGTTTTGTTTTGTTTTGTTTTAGAGGGATACAACCATGGTCATCAGCAAATCTTTCCTCTGGTAGATGGAATGCCTGTACTAGCCAGATATTCCTTGGCTGGCTTCTATACCATGTTACTTTTACTACAACTGCTGTTGCTCGTATATTATTTGAGTGAAATAAAAATAACTTAGGTGGAATAAATAATATTTAGGTTAAGATTCAAAATAATAACATTCTAGAAATAATTTAATTCTAATGTATACTTTAGAAAATTTAAATACAACTTACTTTTATAAGCAGAAATAATCATTAATGCTTTTGAATCTGCTTTTATCAACTCAATCAAAGGTAATATCACTGATTTAACCTAAGGGAATATTACAAATATTAATCACATATTAGCATCTTTGCCTATGTTCTCTTTCAATGGGAATGAACATGATTTATTCTAGACAGGTAAGTTTTTGGAGATCCAATAGAATACACGAACATAACTTTTTTTTAAAAAAAGTTAGAATATGTAAGAGCCAGAGGTCATTACAAAGCAAACAAAAGTTACCAACTAAATGAAAATACTGACTCTACTCTAAAATAATTTTCCCCTGACTAACTTCAGGCTCTTCAGCAAAAGAAGTTCCAGATGACTGAAGACCTATCTTGGGACATAATGCCTTCTCAAATATTTGAAGGGAATTGAGAGGAAGGAAAGCTGTAGCGTTTCCTGAGACTGGATTAGAGGAATGAGACTTTAAGTCACAAATTCTCTTTCATATATTGCTCAATTTCCTGGCTTGTCAATTACCCTACCTAGATCTTTAAGGCACACGGAGGCCTTTACCACATACGATGTGGTAACCCCCCTTGGGGGGCCAGAGGGACATAAGTTGTGTAAAAATTGCAGATAAAAGGGGAAGTTCTGCATGGAGGAGTTGTGGCACTGAAATAGTGCACTGACAGAGTTGTACCTGAGTGGAGGGATTCTAGCATCTGGAACCTGCATTTCAGCAGAATCTAAAAGTGTAGACAAAAAAACCCTTAAAGCCACAGGGAAGATTAAGCTCTTCCAGAATGCTAGCGACCACCCGGTCTCCCCTGTAGATGCCAAGGGCTCTTGCAGTCAGTATCTGAGGGCTCTCAGGGAAGGCAAAGGGACCCGGTTTTCCAGTCTCCACTGAAGGCATCATAAATCTGAACTGTGGAATGTCTGCCAGAAGACATACTGGCAGTGCTCAATTGCTGGTCCAATGATGAGGCTGTTTAGCTGCAGACCAAGGTTCTACTCACAAGGGAGGAGGTTTTTATATAATTGGCTATTTAGCTTTACAAGTCCAGAGGGCAACAGGAAGTCTGTATCCACAGAGGACCTTATTGGCCAGACCAGACATTTAGTAAATCTGTTCTTTTAGGCAGTTGCCCATTTAAAACAGGCTCCATTTAAAGGCATGCCAAAAAAAGGTGGCTGTTTCATAATGGGCCACCCTGTGTTAAATAATATTATTCTTCTGGTAGGCAACCCTATACTTAGCACTTTCATGAAAATTAATTAGTTACAGGTACAAAGACCTAAGAGACCCTGTTACACAAATCTCTTAAAACTTGAAATGTGAAAAATCAACCAAAAGTATCTGTTAATAACTTACACACCTCTTTGGAGAAATGAAAGAGCTTTGGTTTACAATCATCTGTAGCATTTGAAATCTGTTTAAGAGGATTGAGGGGAAAAAGAGAAACCAATAGTCATTAAAAGTCAGAAAGCATCAACAAACATGATGACTTTATTATAACTAGGCTTTCAAATAAAAACACTTCAAAATAAAGTTCCAAAATGCAAACTAGTCATTACTTTTCCATTTATTAGAAAAAAATATATATTAGTCTGATTTTTTTTTCTTTTTAGCTTAAAATAAAAAGGAAGAAACTGAAAAGAAAATATAAAGTATTACCTGGAAGTGCTGCTCTATAGAATTTAATGTCAGAGGACAAAGGATAGACCACTTTTTAATTACTGTCTGTAAGAATAAGAAGAATCAACAAACCAGATTATTTCTTCTAAACTTCATGAAAAGAAATTATTTCAAATAGGTCAGCATTATTTCAATTAATCTAACACCATGCCAAACCATATGCTAGCTAACAGAGTCTTTGACTGTATAACTTTCCCATAGGGTGGGCCGCCTATTTCCTGGTTAGTGGAAATCTCCCCCATTAAAGACTGAGAGTACTCTCAAGTCAACTTTCGAAATTCCAACAGCATCAAGGCATTAAAAAGAAGTGCAACTTAAAATGGGAACACAATGTTTTAGTGACAATGGTACAAGAATATGGTTATTTGTGGACCTGGCATCAGAGGCAGATGGAGAAATAGTAACAGCTGTTTTGGAAATGGCCACAGGCAGATGTGAGTAAAGACCTTATGCAAAGGGTGAACTTGGAGATTTCTGATATAGAAGTACTATCCCTTCTTGCTTTTTTCAAACTTATGTTACTTTCAGTGAATGTAGAAAAAAAAACTGGCTAAGAATAAAAGCACATAGCTAGGGAATTCCAGTTGATAAAAATAAAAAATTTAAAAAATAAAAAAATCCAAAGGGATGTCAATTCCCAGAAATAATCCATAAAAATGTTTCATAATTTTATTTATTTTCTTTTTTTCTTCTTCAGGATTTTACTCTTAATTGTGGCCATCCTGTTCCTAGACCTAAGGTTGTGGTTGTGTCAACATTGCCATTGTTGCCCTTGTTTCGGGGCACATAATTACTCTGTAAATATTTGCTCTAGGCTGAAACCCAGCATACAAAGGGGCAAGGGAGAATAAAGGAAGCATTTGTCCTTTGCAGGAGACCAATAAGTAAATACGGCTCCTATTCCTATTCCTATTTGGTATTTATCTAGCTTTGGATTTAAACTAATTCAGCCAAGATTTTATATAGCGATAAAACAAATCTAAGGAAAACATATACCTTTAGGATTAAGTTAATGAGTAAACTAAAGAATGACTCTTAATTAAAACCCTCCCCAAGGGGGCAGGAGGGGGACAATTATAAGGATAAACTAGGAAAATTGCTTTGACATTTCTAGATATGTTTTCCATATGTAATGAAAATAAATGGTCAACTTACCATGAGAGAAGAAAAAAAATCAAAAGCAATAATCTCACCATCTTTTTATTGGTATGTTTAAAAAAAAGAGAGAGAGAAGCCGAAACCGGTTTGGCTTAGTGGATAGAGCGTCAGCCTGCAGACTGAAAGGTCCCAGGTTCGATTCCAGTCAAGGTCCTGTACCTTGGTTGTGGGCACAACCCCTGTAGAGGGTGTGCAAGAGGCAGCTGATGATGATTCTCTCGATTCCAGTCAAGGTCCTGTACCTTGGTTGTGGGCACAACCCCTGTAGAGGGTGTGCAAGAGGCAGCTGACAATGATTCTCTCGTCGATGTTTCTATCTCTCTATCCTCTCTCTTCCTCTCTGTAAAAAAATAATAAAATATATTTTTTTAAAATTAAAAAAAAGGGGGGGGGGTAAGAATGGGTGGGGCAGAAGCTAGTCTCTTCAGCCCTGCTCCAGTGGTGGTGGTGGCAGCAACAACCATTTCTGGTGCATTTGTTGTGTACCAGGCCCTGCAGTACGTTGGTGTGTGAGCCACCTCATTTATTTTATCAGCGGTTATCATGAGGCTTGCAATTCAAAATATTGAATGCAATGATCCAAAATGCAATATCATCATTTTTTTCATGAATTAGAAAATATCATTAGCAATCTGATTTTATATTAATATAAAATTAGTTACTAGAGCTAATCTCTCTGCAGAGATCCCTCCTAACCTCAGGCCCGCGCACTGGGCTGAGGTTGTCAGAAGTGATATCTTATGCACTAGAAGTACGGGCAGGAATGGGGAAATACCCAACAGCCAAGAGTGACAGGCAGTCCTTATTCGGTGAAGATAGATCATGGTCAGAAGATAATTCCAGCCAAAACCGATTTGGCTCAATGGATAGAGCGTCAGCTTGGGGACTGAAGGGACCCGGGTTTGATTCCGGTCAAGGGCATGTACCTTGGTTGTGGGCATCTCCGGTGGGGAGTGTGCAAGAGGCAGCTGATCGATGACTCTCTCTCATTGATGTTTCCAACTTTCTCTCTCTCTCCCTTCCTCTCTGTACAAAATCAATAAAATATACTTAAAAAAAAAAGAAGAAGAAGAAGAAGATAATTCCAGGAGTTAGAAAGACAGGGGAAAGATGACTAAGTATGTAAAAGTCTTTCCATTGCACAGAAGGCCTTCTTTCACTCTTCTCCCAGTCTTCCCATCTTTCAATGTTGAGCTTGTTTATTTCCTTCCACATCCTTCTTTACTCTAGCTCTCAGTGATCTTTAAGTCTTGCAATTCTTACTCTGAAGCAAATAAGTCCATACTTATGTATTGCCTATATTGTTCTCTATCTACTTGTTTTCTAATATCTTATCTCATCTACACAATTGACTGACCCTTGGAGCTGTGTCCAGGTTAAACTCCCACATGCCTAACAGCGCTCAGTAGAAGGAAAGCATCTGACTAAAATCCATTCAAATAGTTCACTATTTTGATTGATTGTTTCCCTCTTCGTTGTGGGGTCTAAAGAGTGTATGTTCACGGATGCTAACTGAACTTATATGGCAATCATTTTACAACATATATAAGTCAAGACATTATGCTGGATAACTTAAACTTATATCTTATTATAACTGAAAGAAAAAGTCTAAAAGAAAGTGTATGTTCGATTCACTTACTTGTAAGATATAAGTCATACAATTCGAGGGGGAAGACAACGTTGATAAGTTCAACAAATGATTAAATGTAAACACTGTTAAGCATTTTTAGTTTTAAGAGCATTCATTAAAGTATAACTGTTTCTGTACACAGAAGCCAGCGTCACTTCCAATCTTTAAAATAACCTGAAATTGTTTTATCTTTGTATCCCAGAAGATCACTTTAGACTAAGTTAAATGCATCTTAGATTGTTTTGACAGCACAGAAATCTGGCTATGTAATATGACTTAACTACTGATGTATTATCTTGCTCTTTTGGGTGGCATTTTTCTTTTATTAATTTCTCAATATTAAGGAAGAGTTTCATGAAGCTTATGATTTTAAAAGTTTAATCAAATAATTTAAACATGTGTCTTTTTAAAAGATTATTTTATAAATAGTAAGTTTACCATCTGATATTTTTCCTGCTAATTTTTAAATATAAGAAAAAACGTATTACACATGTGAAAAAAACATTTCTTTGCAGTAGTATTTTTATGAGACCTTAACTATGCTGAATAAACCAGACCAGATACAATTCAGACACCCCAGTTCTTACTAGATTGCAATAGTTAAGGCCTAGAAGCTCTGTGTCTTTAATGGAACAAGTTTCATAATTAAGATAATATAAAACTATTTTACACTTCCAGGCTGGGAGCGGCCAGGCCCGGGGGAGCAGCCGGGTCGGGTGCGGCCAGGCCCGGAGCAGCAGCTGCCAGGCTGGGAGCGGCCAGGCCCGGAGCAGCAGCAGCCAAGTCCAGAGCAACTATGTCGGGAGCGGCAGTGACCAGACCGGAGCAGCTGGTTGTGGAACGAACCAGAGCAACAGAGGCCAGGCCCTGAGCAGCCAGGCCCGGAACAGCTTGCTCCTCGCCTGCCCCTGCCCCACGGCTGCTTCTCAGACATGGCTGGAAACTTTCGTGGGAACTTGAGGGTCTGCTGAATCAAGCGATGAAGGCTTAGATCTGGATGTGTTGAGTTAGTATAGGGCTGGGGTGTTGATCTGTGAGTGCCTTGGGTGGGGCCTGGATGAGGCTGGTGGACCTATTGGGAAATGTCTTTTGTGTGAAGTGTATCATTGGGCATGTGGAGGTATTATTGATTTGAGAAAATGCTAAGTAACTGATTTACTATCTGAAAAGGGATTTACTATTGGGGAAAGGGAGGGAAGAAGAGACTGAACATAAACTGCACCTATGGATGAGGACAATGGGGGATGGGGAGGGGGTGGAGGGTGGGGTGGGAACCTGGTGGAGGGGGGAAGAAATGAGGAACCTTTGTAATAATATGAACAATAAAGATTGATTAAAAAAAAATAAAAATAAAAATAAAAAAATAAAAAATAAAAAATAAAAAAAATAAAGTAACAGAGAAACTAAATAAAGTTTTAGTTAAATTAAAAAAAATCAATAAAATATATATATATATTTAAAAAAAACAAAAAACTATTTTACAGATAAGAACCAGCCTGATCCTCATAATTGAGTACCCCTGACACACACACACACACACACACACACACACACACACACACAATATTGTACAGAAATAAAGTGATCATACAACCTACACAAAGAATTACACTCCATCTAAGGTTTTAACAGAATGGTGTGCTCTCCTTTCTAATTAACCATAAGTGATACTGAACTTGAAATGCTGGTTCAGCCAAGCCTCTTCAATATAGATAAAATGAAGGAAATAATTTTGTGAAACAAAAGTGCTTTGGGTAACACACTGAAATAAAGTGGGATACCTCCCCAAAACAAAACAGAGTTAAAAGAAAAAAAAGGCATTAAGACAATGAGTTCCATTTTAGTGAGGAGATAAGCAACATGGTATATTTTAAACTTACCACAAGAGCAAAGAACGTCATAAAGAAAAATGATAAACTACTTGTATAGCCAAGAAAGCCTGTAAAATAACAGTAAAATAAAAAAAACAATTTATAAGGAAAATAATCCTAACGTACAGCTAAAGCTATACATCTTCGGTATGTTTTCTATTACAGGGCATGGTATCTGGGGTTTAGGGCTAAGAATAACAACATTCCAACTATCTGTCACAGATCATTTATGTAGCTCTGTACGGCAGAATTGGAACTGGCTTACCACTAATGGTACACTGTAAAGGAAGGCTGCTCTTTAATGTTCCGCTGTAAAGGTTTTATTTTAGTGGGGCAGACAAAATACTACTGCAAACCAAGTAATAGGTTAACTAGACAGGGCTGAACAACCTACAGTAAGTCCAAGTTCAAAACTATGCACAACCACCACCCTTCTGCTTAAAATGTGGTACTGTGAACTTCCAAAGCTCCTTAATATTCTTTTCTTTCTTTTTTCTTAACTTTAAAAAATAATGTTCTCTTCAACAAAGACTTACCTATTTTAGGAAGAAGAGCAAGAGGAAACACAATGATAACACAAGTGATTATTAGTAGTGTGTGTTCATGAAGATACCAAGACCTATTATAAAAAAAAAAAAATAGTTCTATTTTAGGGGCAGGATCCACTGTTTATGTTCACACACACACACACACACACACACACACACACACACACACATTTACAAAAAGCCTACTTCCTTTTGTTAAAATATGTTCTTGTGGGATCCTAGTTATTAATGAATTTACATTTAAAAAATGTATCAAAATAATGAGATGCCATTTAAGTACCAAATTAGCAAATAATTTTTAAAAAATAAGATAGGCAATGCTGGGGAGGAGTAATGAGTGCACAAAACTGATAAAAATAATAATAAATATTGGAAACAAACATCTAACACCATGACAATTTAAAAATAAATTATGGAACTATGGGATATCATAAAAGATCATTTTATAGATATAATAAAATAATGAATATTCAATAAACATAATAAATATTTACAGCATGATTATAATTTTGAGGAAGAATACAGATTCATTAAAAATGGAGAGGAATTGCAATAAATCAATAACCATTATTTCTAGGCGGTAGAATAATAGGTAATTTTTCTTCTTTATAATTTATATTTTTCAGGAAAGGACATAAATTACCAGAAAAAAAGTATTAAAATTTTCATATTAAGTCATTAGAATGTTGAATTAGAAAAGGCAGGTTAAAAAGTATGATGGTGTATTTAATTATTTTTAAAAAATGGATGTACATTTTTTTTTTTAATCAGAAGGATATATTTAAAACACAAAAAGTAGATATTTCTGTGTGGCAACAATATAAGCAATTTTATTTTCTCCTTGTTTGCATATATATTATTTTAATTTTTCAATATAAAATATCTGTATAGAAGTTTTAAAAAGTTAGAACGAATTTCCCAAGACTTTTATTTTATACTAGAGACTATTATGTAAAGGACAAACAATTCATGAAATAAGTACACCTAGTAAATATACATGAAGACAAATCCAATGCAATTAAAGAAATAATTAGGCTGTTGAAATTAAACTAGTAAATTTATTATTTACTTTTTTAAAATGTATTTTTATTGGTTTCAGGAAGGAAAGGGGGGACAGAGAAAGAGAGAGAGACAGAGAAAGATTAATTAAGAGAGAAAATCATTGATTGGCTGTCTCCTACACGCCCCACACTGGGAATGAACCCACAATGCAGGCATGTGGCCTGGCCAGGAATCTAACCATGACCTCCTGGTTCATAGGTGAATGCTCTACCACTGAGCCAAGCCAGCTGGGCAGTAAAATTACTTTAAACATAACATTTGAGGATGTAGCATAATTGGTGCTTCATATGTTGCTAGGGACTTTGTCAATCTAGTACTATCTCTTGGAAAAACATTGATAATATGTAGGAAAAATATTGATAAAATGTAGCAAATGTGGTAATTTAAAAAATTATCTGAAATATAAAGAATTCTATGTACATGCAGCAATAAATATATTATTATATTATTAAAAAGCTGGGGGAAATCCTATATATATCCAGCAATAGAAAAATATGGATTACAGCATACTTTATTAGGATATTAAGCAGCTTTTTAAAAAAGACAATTTAGTAGCTCAGCTGATGTGGCTGCTCAATGGTTGGGCATCGACAATCAGGAGGTCACGGTTCAATTCTCACTCACAAAAAATAACTCAAAATAGATTAATGACTTAAGTGTAAGATCTGAAACTATAAAACTTCTAGAAGAAAACATAGAGAAGACAGCTCCTTGATGTCTTAGCAACAATTTTTTGGATATGACACCAGAAGCACAAGCAACAAAAGCAAAATTAAGTGTGAGTTCATCAAACTAAAAACCTACATAGCAGAAGAAACAGCAAAATGAAGAGCAATCTACAGAATGGAAGAAAATATTTGCAAACCACATATCTGACAAGGAGTTAATATCCAAAATATATAAAGAACTCATTCAATTCAATAGCAAAAAAATAAAAATGAAAAAACAATCTGACTTAAAAATGGGCAGGAAAAAAAATTAACGTTTTTTCAAGACATACCAATAGCCAATGGGAACATGAAAAGATGTTCAACATCACGAATCAGGAAAATAAGAATCAAAACACAATAAGATAATACTTCACACCTTTTAGAATAGGAATCAACAAAAAGACAAGAGGTAAGTGTTGGCCAGGATGTAGAGAAAAGGGACCCTTGTGTACTGTTGGTGGAATGTAAATTGGTTCAGCCTCTGTGGAAAATAATATGGAGGCTCCTCAAAAATCTAAAAATTGAACTATCATATGATCCAGCAATCCCACTTCTGGGCATATATCCAAAGGAAATGAAAACAGGATATCGAAAAGATATCTGCACTTCCATGTTATTGCAGCTTTTTTCACAATAGCCAAGATACTACTTTGGAAACAGCCTTAGTGTCGTCAATAGATGATGGATAAAGAGAAGATGTGATATATATAATGAAGTATTATTGAGTCAGGAGAAAGAAAAAAATCTTATTATTTGTTACAAAATGGATGGACCTTAGGGGCATTATACTAAGACTAGAGGCCCGGTGCATGAAATTCGTGCGTGGTGGGGGGTGGGGTGTCCCTCAGCCCAGCCTGCACCTTCTCCAATCTGGGACCCCTCCATATCCTACCAGGATGGGGCCTAAACAAGCAGTTGGACATCCCTCTCACAATCCAGGACTGCTGGCTCCCAACTGCTTCCCTGCCTTTCTAATTGCCCCTAATCACTTCTGCCTGCCAGCTTGATTATCCCCTTAACCACTCCCCTATCAGCCTGATTGATACCTAATTGCTCCCCTGCCAACCTGGTCACCCCTAACTACCCTCCCATGAAGGCTTGATCGCCCCCAACTGCCCTTCCTTGGAGGTCTAGTCCCTCCCAATTACCCTCCCCTGCTGGCCATCTTGTGATGGTCATCTTGTGTCCACATGGAGGCAGCCATCTTGTGTGTTGGAATGATGGTCAATTTGCATATTATTCTTTTATTAGATAAGATTAGATAGGATAGAGGCCTGGTGCACAGGTGGGGCTGGCTTGTTTGCCCTAAAGAGTGTTCGGACAGGATGGGGGTTCCCTTGGAGTGTGGGAAGTCTGGGAGAGGGGCCTGTGGTGGTTTGCAAGCTGGCCACGCCCCCCAGTGACCCAAGCAGAGGCCCTGATATCTGGGATTTATTTATCTTCTATAATTGAAATTTTTTGGCCTTAAGTGGAGGCCAAGGCAGGCCAGGGCAGGCGAAAAGCTTGGCTTCCTCCATTGCCAGGGAAACCCAAGCCTCCTGCTCTCTCCGTGGCCGAGCCATCTTGGTTGGGTTAATTTGCATACTTGCTCCTGATTGGATGGTGGACGTGGGTTGTGGATGTAGCAGAGATATGGTCAATTTGCATATTACTCTTTTATTAGATAGTATGAGTAAGAAAAAGACAAATATTGTATATCACTTATATGTGGAATCTAAGACATCCTAACTGATAGAAACAGAGAAGAATGGTGATTTCTAGAGGCTGGGGGTTAAGAGAACCAAGAAGGTGTTGGTAAAGGGTACAAACTTGCAGTTAGAGATGAGTAAGTGTTGGCCAGTCTGGGGTCTAATGCACAACACTTTGATTACAGTTAATAGTACTGCATTTATGTACTTGAAAGCTGCTAAGAGACTAATTCTTAAATGCTCTCACCACAAAACAGAATGACAATTATATGACATGATAGAAGCGTTAAATAACACCACTGTGGTAATCATATCCTATAAAATAAAAGGGTAATATGCAAATAGACTGAACAGCAGAACAAGTGAACAACCAAACCAATATGCTAATGATATGCTAAGGCTGCTCAACCACTCACTATGATGTGCACTGACCACCAGCCTCTCAGGGGGCATATACTCTGACCAGTAGGTTAGCTTGCAATCGGGACTGAGTGAGATGGGCCGGACATGCCCTGGTTCCCTCCCACAGTCCCTCCCCAGCCCGATCATGCACCAGTGGGGTCCCTCAGCCTGGCTTGCACCCTCTTGTAATCCAGGACCTCTCAGGGGATGTTGGAGAGCCTGTTTCAGCCCAATCCCGCAGACCATTCCACTTGAAAGGGCGCCAGATATATGCAGGGCTTATGGCTGGTGAGCACTGCTGTGGCAACGTGAGCCTTTCCCGATCGGGACTGATTGGGCAAGCACAGTGGCAGACACAGTGGGGCTGGGATGAGTGGGAGCGTCAGTAGGAGCTGCAGGTGGTATTGGACTGCAGGCCACCCAGAGGGACCCCACACATGCACGAATTCGTGCACTGGGCCTCTAGTTGCAATATATAATTATATCAAAACAATACACTATATGCTTTAAACTTAGTGTTATATGTCAATTATATCTCAATTAAGAAAGAATGAATAAAAGAAAGAAAATCAGAGAAAAGGTGTTCCTCTGCATGTTTCCAACCCCTGGACTTAACATGGACTTCATGACTCATTCGCTATGTCTCTTTTTACACTCTGATTTATAAGGAAGTCCTCTCTATGTATCTTTAATGGGTACTGTTGGGTGCTGACAATTTCCTCTTTAACAGGACTGGAAAAGGAGCAATAGCAGAAATAGTACTGTGAAGCCTGGCCAGTGTGGCTCTGTGGTTGACTGTCGACCTATGAACCAGCAGGTCCCAGTTTCATTCCCAGGCTCAATCCCAAGTGTGTGTGTGTGGGGGGGGAGTGGGTAGGTGAGGTGTGTAGGAAGCAGTCAATAGATGATTCTGTCCCAGCATTTATGTTTCTATCTCTCTCCCTCTCCCTGCCTTTCTGAAATCAATAAAAATAAATAGCACTGTGAACATAACTTTCCCTTCTCCACCCTAATTCATGTCTTTAGAAAATAAATGTGCAAGAAACTAAAGCCTATGTACAAGTATTTCTAGGTCTAATGGACTTGAAGCTGTGCTCTCTACATTTTCATTCACATGCCCAATTCCTGGTATGCAGGAGGTCCTAAGAGAGGACACATATTAACAATACAAATGACACTTGGCAAATCCATCTTCTAGCCACTCTTAAA